TCTACGAGCACACATCAAGAAAACAGAAAGACCACAAGTGGAGAGCCTAACAAATCACCTAAGGGAGCTGGAAAGAGAAGACCACCAAAACCCCAACTTTAGCAGAAGAATCCAAACACCAAAATATGAGCCAAAATACGGGACATAGAAGACAAAAATAACATAGAAAACATAAACAAAACAAAATGCTGGTTCTTTGAAACAAGACTGATGGACCCCTAGCCAGAATGACTAGAAAAAGAGAGAAAAAACCCAAATAAACACAATCAGAAATACAAAAGATCAAATCACAACTGATCCTGAAGAAATACAAAAGATTATCAGAGATTACTATAGACATCTATATGGAAACAAACTTGATAACCTAAATGAAATGGAGGACTTTCTGACATCACACAACCTCCCAAGGTTGAAACAAGAAGACATTGAGACACTAAATAGACCAATAACTACCCAGGAAATTGACTCTGTCATGCAAAAACTACCTACCAAAAAAAGCCCTGGACCAGATGGCATTCCAGCAGAATTTTACAAAACATACAAGAAGGAGCTTATACCAATCCTATTGAAAATATTCCAGGCAATTGAGAAGGATGGAATTCTCCCCAAATCATTTTACAAAGCTAGCATCACACTGATACCCAAACCAGGTAAAGATCCAACAAAAAAGAGAACTACAGGTCAATATCCCTTATGAACATAGATGCAAAAATCCTCAACAAGTTTCTAGCAAATCGGATCCAAAAACACAAATAAAAAATCATCCACCATGACCAAGTAGACTTCATCCCCAGAATGCAGGGCTGGTTCAACATTTACAAGACTATAAATGTAATTAAATACATCAACAGATGTGTAAATGAGAACCACATGATTATATCACTAGATGTAGAAAAAGCTTTTGATAAAATCCAGCACCCCTTCTTGATAAAAACCCTCAAACACCTAGGTATAGAAGGATCATACCTCAAAATTGTAAGTGTCATTTACAATAAACCCACAGCTAACATATTGCTAAATGGACAGAAACTGGAAACATTTCCCCTGAAAAATGGAATAAGACAAGGCTGCCCACTCTCACCCCTCTTGTTCAACACTGTGTTGGAAGTCCTAGCTTGGGCAATTAGACAAGAGAAGGAAATCTGAGGTATCCTAATAGGAAAAGAGGAAGTCAAGTTATCCCCCTTTGCTGATGATATGATCCTATACCTTAAAAATCCAAGAGAATCTGTCAAAAACCTGCTTGCACTGATAAAGGACTTTGGCAAAGTCTCAGTGTACAAAATAAACATGCAAAAGGCAGGTGCGTTCCTAAACACCAACAACAAGCAGGCAGAGACCCAAATTAAAAGCACAATTCCTTTCACAATAGCCACCAAAAAAAAAGATATACCTTGGCATCTTCCTAATCAGAGAAGTGAAAGACATTTACAATGAGAACTACAAAACACTGCTCAAAGAAATCCAAGGAGACACAAACAAATGGAAAAATATTCCATGCTCATGGATTGGAAGAATTAACATTGTTAAGATGTCCATCCTCCCAAAGGCAATAACCCTGTAGGGCTTCCAACACAATGTTGAACAAGAGAGGTGAAAGTGGGCAGCCTTGTCTTATTCCATTTTTCAGGGGAAATGTTTCTAGTTTCTGTCCATTTAGCAATATGTTAGCTTTAGGTTTATCGTAAATGACACTTACAATTTTGAGGTATGATCCTTCTATACCTAGGTGTTTGAGGGTTTTTATCAGGTTCAATGCAATATCCACTAAGTTATCAACATTATTCTTCTCAGATCTTGAAATGACAATACAGAAATTCATATGGAAACATAAACGACCACGAATCGCCAAAACAATCCTTAGCAAAAGAAACAAAGCAGGAGGTATCACACTTCTGACTTCAAACTTTACTATAAAGCTACAGTAATCAAAACAGCCTGGTATTGGTTCAAGAACAGGCATATAGACCAATGGAAGAGGATAGAGATTCCGGAAGCAAAGCCTTAATTCCTCAACCAACTTATCTTTGACAACGCCTCCAACAACAACCACTGGGGAGAGGAGAACCTATTCAGTAAATGGTGCTGGGAAAACTGGCTGGCCACATGCAGAAGATTGAAACAGGACCCGTACCTACCTATCACCGTAAATGAAAATTAACTCTAAAAGGATCAAAGACCTAAATACAAAACCTCAAACTATAAGAATGTTAGAAAATGCAAGAGACACCCTTATGGAAATTGGAACTGGCAACCAATTCCTATTCAGAACCTTAAATGCCCATACCTTAAGAAATAAGATAGGCAAGTGGGACCTCATCGAACGAATGAGCTTCTGCAAAGCAAAAGAAACCATCAAGAAAGCAGGGATACAGCCCACAGAATGGGAAAAAATATTTGCCAGCTGTATATCTGACAAAGTCCTAGTATCTAGGATCTACAAGGAACTCAAACACGTGTAAAGGAAAAAAACCAAACAGCCCCCTTAAAAAGTGGGCAAAAGACATGAATAGACACTTTTCGAAAGAAGATATATAGGCAGCCAACAAACACATGAAAAGTGCTCAGCCTCACTCATCATCAGAGAAATGTAATTCAAAACCACACTGAGATACAACCTAACCCCAGTAAGAATGGCCATCATTAATAAAACAAACAATAACAGATGCTGGTGAGGATGCGGAGAGAAAGGAACGCTTTTACACTGCTGATGGGAATGCAAACTAGTGCAACCTCTTTGGAAGACAGTGTGGCAATTTCTGAAAGAACTAGAAATTGACCTTCCATATGACCCAGCAAGTCTCCTATTAGGAATATACCCAGAGGAACTCACATCATTCTACCTGCACATCGATGTTTGTTGCAGCTCTATTCACAATAGCAGAAACATGGAAGCGACTATGTTGCCCATCCAAGCTGGACTGGATAAAGAAAATGTGGTACATATACACAATGGAATATTATGCAGCCATAAAGAAGGTCAAAGATACGGACTTTGCAGCAACTTGGATGGATTTAGCGTTGATGATACTCAGTGATCAACTACAGAAACCAAGAACATAGCACCCTATGTTGTCACTCATAAGCAAACCTTGAACAATTATTATAGTACTATAAGAAAGGGATTGGCAAACTGGGAATCCCTAGTGGGAAACTGTCAGGGGAGGGGCGGTGTGGGATTGGCAGTTGAGGGAAACTGCTAGGGGAGGGAGGGGCATACCTCATCCACAAGGCTACCTGCATAATCAATGTTTGTATACCTAACCCTGAATTGTACCCCACATCTTTATAATACAAAAAATAATAAGTGTATTGATTCATTGTAGAATAAACATTGTACTTGCGGATATTTTAAGCATTCAGTAACATGTGACCATATATACATCTTATTGATCTTTCTGAATTTCTTTCTTAAATATGACCAAATTCATTTTTAATGTAACAGTATGCAGAAATATATGTAATAAAATAGAAAAATATTTATATAATTTATGAAAATACTTTATCTAATTATATGTAATTTCTACCCACCTCCAATCTTTGAATAGCTGAAGAAATGGAGGCATAGACACTTCCGATTTATATAGAGTAGTTGTCTCAGAGATGAAGGAACAGGGTGGGCTTCATGTGTGTGTGTGACTTGAACTGTCACACAGGTTCTGCACTTAGAAGAAATGAGTCCCATGCTTGATTTAATGCTCTATTGTCGCTGTCTTGAAATTTTAATCATTTTTGAAAAAGGGGCTTGCCTTTTCATTCTGCCTTGGGTCCCACAAATTATTTAGCTGTATTCTGCTAAAATGAATGTCATTGTTTTGAGAGCTCTCTTGTGTCATTCAGGACCAAAGTGTTTATTGCACTCAATTTCTACATTTCATGAGCTCATCAAGAGAAGAGTTCTGAGGGCTGTCAGAGTTGGAATTGTTAGTCACTGGGGAATCTGTATACACTGTGGCCAAGCAGAGATTTTAGACCAACAAAACATAGGCTTCCATTCAATAACTGAGATTTCCAAACACAGTGAAACCTGGTTAACAACTCTGGTTAGTGAAGTGAAGCAATGCCAACAGTTGGTTAATGTAGAACACATGGTTTGGATCCTGCTGTTACTTGAGAAAAGTCCTGACCTTTACTAGAATATGGGGGATGCCTGGGCAAAGGCAGGTACAACTAACTTGACTGAAGAGTCTGGTTACCCATATTAGAAATATTTTTATGATTTATTAAAAAAAATCCTTCAATACTTTTCTACTAAACAAACTGTAGGAAACTGCCTGTGTGTGAAACATGCTTCTCCAACTGGTGCTTCCAGGATTCCAGTTTTCATTGCAAGCAAGCTGTCTGATGGTGGGAAAAAATTCTGTGATACTATGGCTGAAAAGGACATCCTATGCTACTTTTATATGGTAGAAGTCGAAAGACTGCTGTCATCTGTAAGTTACAATTTAAAAAAAAGATGATGGTGATAATTACTATTATTTTGCATCAAAAGCAAATGATTCCAGAAGAACTGATTTATGTTTATCCTAATTTAACCTAGGTGAATTTAAACATTAACATCTAGGTGAAATTTCAATTTTAGGCTAACAATTTTTCCCTGTGGAGTTCAAAGTTTATTTGGAATATGAAGATTTCAACTTTCTTGAGAAAGTTATGTCTCTGAAATAAAAAGTAATCACATAGTTTCTAGAAATTCTTATTAGTGATGAATGGAAGGCCTTCAGGTGTAATGGTACATTCTTCAAGAAGATAAATTTCAGTGTCAAGCTTGGGTTCAAGTCTCTGCTTTTGGTCCTGGGCAATTTACTTCATCTTTCTAAGCCTCAGTCTCTGGATTTGAAATATGGATAAGCACTCAATGCAAAAGGCTGATGTGAAGATCAAATTAGATAATAGATGTAAGTGTCTAGCACAGAGACTAGACATGATAAACACTCTACAAATAAAGTTATTATTATTGACAGATTTTTCTTCCAGGTTTAAATCTATTAGATAGTTACCTTATTGACAGGAATAATGTTTTTGACATTGTAGTAGAAGCCAAAATAAACCATGTTGAAAACCCCATGACGTCCCAAAGTTGCTGTCAATCCTTTGTGAGGCCCTGGAGTCCCAAGCCTTCCTTCTTAATGATGTGTCTTGCATAACCCATAGTGGATGGTTGCTGCAGAAAAGAGAATAAAAGCCAGAAAGATCACCTTTGAGACTGTGGAACACAGTAAATAGCCACATTAGCTTCCCTTCAAGCCAAAATTATTAGGGACTCTCCTCCACCCCAAATATGAATAATCATGCCTAGATCTATGCTTTTTAACAAGAACAAACCAAAAAAGTAAACAAAATTGCATGCACAACAAACAACAGGCTTTATATAAGAGATTGTTGGGAAGTAAAAAACATCTTTGGTGGAATTAGTGAAACTTATTTAATATAATAATTATGAACACTTTCAACATGTAAATAATTGTATCCAATTCTGGATCATCCAAATGAATGAAAGGTTCACCACATAGATAAATTGGTAATCCACCACTATACATAATGCAAAAAGAATTCATATTTGGTTCTGGAATCCAGCATATTTACCTTTTTAATTATATTCTTCTAAAGCAATGATCTCATTGCTTTAATGGTTTAAACTGGTGCTAGGGTAGAAATCAGCCATAAACAGCTGTTGATTGTATACATCCTCAATAAGCTGTACAATCAGTGTGTGTATCACTGCTGTGATAAATTATAAATAAACACTATTGGGAGTACTAGATTATCTTAAATTTACTCATTTCCAGTCCTTGATTGATTACCCATGCCTTAAATGTCCTGACTGCTGGAATCCAGTCTGTTGCTACTTTTGGAACTTGACGAAGAGCTCACTGCATTTTACCCTGAGGTTTACAATTCATTACAATATACTTACATTTTATGCAGGTCTTTAAAATGGTACAAGTGATTGTTTACTTCATGGAGGTACTGCACAAAAAATATCTTTCCCTTTCCTATTTTGACTGAATAGTAAATAGGGAAAATGTTTGGTGTTTATTATTATTTTTTCACCCATAAGGCAAGCACTGATATGCCATTTGTTTGATATTTTACTGGAGCAGGAGTGATCTGATAAACTTTCAGACTGTAAGTATTTTTTTATCATGTGCAATTAAGGCTACATCAGCCAGATGGAATAGAACTAATCCAATCGAGTCTTTTCATCCAACTTGCATTTATAATAGCTCTGTAATTAACAAGAAACATTTAACAAGCTTGTTTATATAGTAAATCCTATAGTTTTTGCTGCTAAATCGTTTAAAAACTCTAGCTATAATGCTACACTCAACTTCATCTATTCACTGAAGAGGATTAATTACAATAAATGGCATTAATCTCAAGGAAACCCTTCTTTGTAACATGAAAACTCCTCATGAGCATGTACCTGGAAACAAAGACTTACCATATAGGAAAACAAAAAAATTTTTGGAAGTTAAAGTTCATTCCCTGTTCGACAACATGAGATTTTTTGTTTGTGTTTTGACTATCGCTCCAAAGTATTTATTCTGATGTTCAAAAGAGACAGGACAAGCTCAGCACAAGCTCATTTCTGTTGGAAAGACCCAGAAGTGCTGAAAAAATTGTCTAAATGCTCTCTTACTCTGAGGGAGGTAGCCTAGGGTCAGGGGAGAGAAAGGAGGCAGCTTTCCTAGGGATGGAGGAACAGGGCAAAGACTAAGCTGCCTGCCAGGCTCACCGAAAAAAACCGTGTCCAACCTAAGCCTTTTCTCTATCCTCACTCATTTAAGGCCCTGAGGAGATACGGGGATAAGGAGCTCAGGAGCTCAGAGGCCATCTGGGTTCTAGGGCAACAGAGAAATAAAAGTACAAAGAACAATAGCTTTCCTAAAAAAGAAAGAAAGAAAGAAAGAGATGTAAAGAGGTTTCCATTGTTTAAAAATCGTAATTTACTAAATTGTCAGAATTAGGATGGCTAAACTAAGTATTAATTTGAATACCATCTTTTTGATCATCTTGGAAAGAGAAGACTTCTACTAGATCTTAGTGAGAATTGACAAATTCACAGATAGCATTTACTGATCATTTATTCCCTGATTTTCATAGGCTTAGGTGCTAGGTAGGTACAAGGACATATAATGCATGGGTTTTTAACTCAGGTACTTTGGTGACTTTGAACTCTAGTTGCCCATAATTAAGTAAACCAGAGGGTAGCATAGTAATCAGAAATAGAAGCTCAGAGTCAGACAGCTCCAGTTTTGAGTCTCAAAAGTATCACCTGCTAACTTTGGCAAGTATTTTATCCTCTGATCAAGTCTCACTTTACTAATTTGTAAACAAGGATAATGATAGAATCTTCCATTATAGGATTCTTGTGATGATAAACAAGTCAATAAACTTAGTCCATTGAAAGCATTCACTGTATATGAAGCTATTTATAATAATGACCGTTATGCTGACAATCATAAAAGTAGTTATAATGATAAAATAACAGGTAATTTCTTTGTTAGTTGAAGGCAGTGTCAATTAAAATGTGGAGTCTGATTTGAGGAAGAAGAAGCTTCTTCCTTCTCACTCCTTCTGGCTGTCCTTTCCTTTTCCCAGAGTCCTGGACTTGTGATGAAGTCCACCAGAAATACATCCAGAATGCAAGATAAGAATGCTTCCTCTGAGGCTCAACCATTCCGACCTCTAGGCCAGAGATCTCATTCCAGAGATGGCGCCTTATCCAGGAACTCTCCTCTCTGAAGCAGTAGATCCTGTAAATTGGACTCTTCCTTATCCCTTGGTTAGCATCCTGGCTAAGATCTCTCCATTTGGCAAGTCTATGGGCTGTAGAAACAAGGCCACATGGAATCAAAAGTTAAGAATGGAAAAATATACGAACTGGTGCTTTACAGCCTGGAGAACGTAGTCATATATGTTATCAAATATTTGGAACACAATGAGCACTCACTGCTCTAAGCCATTATCACAGATGCTCAGTACTTTACATACATTGTGTTATTTAAGTGTGTGAGTTAGGTCTTATCATTACCCTCTTATGACATATAAAGAAATTAAGGCTTAGAAATTAAGTTACTTGCCCAAGATCACAGAGTAAGTGGTAGCATCAGAGTTTAAACTTTTGGACTCCAAGTCTGTGCTTTTACACTCTGTGTGGTTCTGCTATCCTAGAATATCTGATTGTTTCTGTCAACAACCCCATAGTGGGCTGCAGGTATATTCTCATTTTTCAGGTGAGGAAACCAGTGATTGTTAGGTAACTGAATTCTGCATCTAATCATGTTATTCTTTCCATGCTCATTCTTGTTATACATAGATGATAATTTTTTTCCAGAATTTGATAATCCAACTGATATAGGTAACAGATAAATAATAGTACAAACATATTTTCCTAGCAAGTAGGGGCCTTGGGATAAAGAAAAGCCAAAACTCTAATGCCTATAAAAATTAGATGTAAAAGCATAATAGTTTTCCCTCCTTCATTTAGGGACAGTGTATCACAAACATGTAAGCAAATATTTAATCAGAAAGGCAAAACCTGACTTCCACTAGGATGCTTAAATAGGAAAATAGAGAATCATTTTGACTAGATCTCTATAAACACAAGGAATTTTACTAAACTTATTTGATTACTATGCTTCCATTTCAAAGCACACTGGGGACTGATTAGCATCATCAGCCAAATGATTCCAGTTCTATCCAACTCGGCAGGTCAACCACCAGTTCAGTTTCCTTCCAATATTTAGATTCATTCCAATTTTCATACTTAGTTGACAGTTGTGGGCCAAACTGCATTCTAACTTTCCTTGATGTCCCTTTCATTCACTGCACATGAGCAGCCAAGTATGGAAGAGTAAGTGGATTGGGATGAAAATTAACAAATATTTTTTGCTTTAATTTTTATACGAACAGATATGCTATGAATTGTTATATCTGCCCACAAGGGTATTCCATAATGGTTATAGGATATGGAATTGATATTTTGTTTTTAAAAGTTATTAAGATTTTTGATTTTAAAAAAGATCCTAAGTGAAATAAGCCAAACACAGAAAGGAAAACATTGGCCAGGTACGGTGTCTCATGCCTATAATCCCAGCATTTTAGGAGGCTGAGGCAAGAGGATTGCCTGACCCCACAGGTTTGAGACCAGCCTGGGTAACTTGGCGAGACCTCATTTCTACAATAAATCAAAAAGTTAGCCGGGTGTGGTGGCATGTTCCTGTAGTTCCAACGAAGTCTCGCTGAGGCAGGAAGGAAGGCTGAGGCGGAAGGATCGCCTGAGTCAGCAGGACAAGGCAGCGGTGGCCGTGAGCATGCCACCCACTGCACTCCAGCCTGGGTGACAGGGTGAGACTCTGACTCAAAAAAAAAAAAAAGAAAGAAAAATATTGCATGATCTCACTCATACATAAAATCTTAAAAAAAAAAAATCAAATATATAGAGATAGAGAATAAAATAGTGGTTAACAGAAATGGATGGGGAGAGGGAGGTCAGTGGATACAAAGTAGCAGACATACAGGATGTACAAATCTAGAGAACTAATATCCAACATGGGGACTATCGTTGATAAAATTGTATTTTATTGTATTAAGGATTTGTGTTAAATAAATAGATTTACACACTATTTTCATGTAATGAATATGCATATGTACCACCAAATCTAAAATAAAATAAATAAGTAGATTTTAGTCATCTGTGCCACAAACACAAATGTAACTATTGAGAGGATAGATACGTTAATCTGCTTCATGATAGTAACCATTTTGCTATCTATATGTATCTCATCACATCATGTTGTAAATCTCAAATATACACAAAAATTTATTAAAAAATAAAAAAGTTTTAAAAAGAGAGAGAGAGAATCCTCTACCTAAATGATGCTCCCAGGCATCACTCCAGGGCAGTGAATTCTTACTCTCTGAGAGACCAGTACTACCATCAAATCACTGAGATGACTTATGGCAGCCTGAGCTATTTTTTTTGGAGTTCTTCCTTCCAACTACTGACCATAGCTGGCTTTGATTAGCTTGTGAGTTCATAGACAGGGGTTTTAGGCAGTAGGCATTGTTTTCTAGGTAAATAGCTGTCAGAGTATGCCATAGGTATAGGCGTGGGGTGTGTCGGGGGATTTCCTTCATTTCTAAGGCCAAAGAAGA